GAGGTACTGAAAAAAATCGAAGCATTTTTACTGCCCCAAAACGTGATGACAGACAAAAACAAAATTAAAAAAACACATCATGGTAAAATCAATACATTCATCGCTCCGCTCAGAATCTAAAAATGGTAAGTAAGTGGATGCCGCTCTCCTGTAAAGTAGGTTACTGTAATGGACGTTATTAAATTTGAATTCAACGATATATTATGATTATATATATATATATATAACAATTCTAAGTGGAGATGGTTTGTCAGTCTAGGATATATTATATTATTTCAAAAAAATGAAGATACCTATAAAATAGATTCCAAATTAATCAAATCAGATTAATTATGTACCCTACTCACACAGTCATTCATAGTAGGTATATACAATTTATTATATAGTATTAATATAAGTTATTAATGACATTAACTATTAAAATTAAAATATAAAGTATACTCTAAAATTGATATTCTTAGTTATTTAATGAGTAATTTCATCTACGTTTGAACTTGAAATAAGTAAAAAAAAAACTGTGTTTGTATAGTTTTTAGATTTTTTTTTTTACAGCAGAATTAACTACTTACGTGACTTTTCAATCCTTAACTATAATATTAAAACATTTTATAAATTTTTAACTGCTAAAGAATTCATACATTTTCAATTAATTAAATTTTGTCAGATTTGAATTTCAATTAGTTATAAAAAAAAGAAATGTGCCTATGAATTAATTTCAATTAATTTTATAACCCAATAAATAAAATTTTACTGTAATTTATAAAAAAACTAAAAAGATTGACAATTTTATCAAGTATAGGAAATGCTAGTATAAACATTCAGTGAAAATTCTGTAGTAATTTATTTTATAGTTACTCAAATATCAAAATTCAATTTTTTCAAAAATTTATTTTGTGTGAAAATTCCCATTTTCGTAAAAAAAATTTCTGTTTTTCCTGGTGCTTTTGAAAACTACTCGGAAATTCAAAATTTGACCTCTCCAATGCACCATCTAGATTCACTTTTCAACTAGAAAAGCTACTAAGGTTAAAAATCGAAGCACTATTTCGACAACTTATGTACACAGACACAAAAAAAGCATATTGTAAAATCAATACATTCATCACTCTGCTCAGAATCTACAATATATTAATATTACAGAAGTATAGATGATACTAAAATAAAATTATACACCTACCTGTCTTCTTTTTTTGTATTACTAATTTTAAAATTTTCTTGACTAATCATCTAAACTATGTGATAGTTTATAATTTTATTTACCTTTACCTAGGCATTTATCAAGATAAAAAGTTTAATTTTATCACTGGATCTCTTTTTAGCTTCTCATATTGGTAGATATATCATATATACCTATAATTATTCATTCTTTTTGTAAGTAGTAAGTGGTCCAAAACACTTTATTGCATGGGCGTGCGCACGGGTGGTGCAGGGTATGCAAATGCACCACCTGCGGATTTATAGCCTAGTGTTTGTTACAGAAACAAATTGTTTATTCAATTATGTAACTAATTATACATTTTTTCATACTTAGGGATTTTGGAATAAATCAATAATGAAAAAGTATTGTTCTTATTGTTATAAAAATATACAAAATAAAGTAAAAAATTATTTCTAGTGAAATCACACCAAATATTTCTAATATTTTAGGTTTAGGAAAACATTTTAGATGATAGCAAAAATAATAGAGTAACCTAGGTATAAATAGTAAAAATGAAATGCACCACCTGCAAGCAATGTCTGCGCACGCCTATGCTTTATTGTGATACTAGAACTTATGACAACACTAAATTATTTATATCGATATTCAGTTATCTTTAAATCATTGAGTGATCATTGGTTAAACGATAAATTATAATTAATAATTTAATATACAACCTATATCTTGAAATAATCTTGAAATTCCCTCATTACCAATTATTTTTATAGGCTTTTAAAATATTACATTGTTGTTTAATATAAAAATAATAGCTAGTTCACTGTAGGTATGTATTTAATATTTGTTTGAATTAAAATATTTTAAGATTAAATTCATAATAATTTATATTACAATTTATAAGTATCAAGATAAGGTAAAACAGTCTGTTGATCATTACTCATGTATTATTCATAAACTGATTTAACAAAAAAATTTATTCTTAGAAAATTGTTCAATAAGATTTTAACCATATTTTTATTTTTTTCATTTATTATATTTTAAAATGTGTCAACATATTACATGTTATTACAAGTTTATTATAACCATATTAATGTACCTTCCTAATTTCTAACCATATTTAAAATTAAGATAATCATTATTAGTTAGAATTTTGTTTTATCCTCGAGMATTTGAAATTGTATATGTTTAATTATTTGATAGGTATTTTAGATATTTTATACTTACATAGTTTCACTAAATGTTATTTAATTATCTACCAGGATTAATTGATAGTTGTTTTTTTTTTTCATTAATTTCTTGTATAAACCTTGTCTTGTGTCAATAGTGTCATAATGAGTGAACCATTAATAATTTAATAATATATTATTCAGTTTTTAAAAATATATTGCCTTTTTTCAGGGTTCCCCCCAAAGAAGTATTTAAAATTCCAACTGTAGCTAATATACCAAAAAAAGCTACACAAGTGGCCAAGCCACCAACAACAGTCAATCAACTCCAAAGCAATTTGAAGGCAACCACTCTTGATGAAAAMCCTTGTAGTGAACAACAAAACAATAAGAACATGGGTCTAACAGATAAAAAAAATGAGTAAGTGTATCAACTTATGTCTTTAATTAATCAATTTAGTTTTAAATAAATTATYATTTAATACCTAATAATGGTATTTATTTATCATTAAATAGAATGAAATGGACTTTGGATAATTTTGATATTGGTAAAGCATTGGGAAAAGGAAAGTTTGGAAACGTGTATCTTGCCAGGGAAAAGAGTTCTGGATTTATTGTTGCTCTCAAAGTTTTATTTAARACGCAAATTTTAAAAGCAAATGTTGAACATCAGCTCAAAAGAGAAATTGAAATTCAAACACATCTAAGGTAAACACTAAATTTAATAAAATTAAAATATATATTTTATTATTTTGTATGCAAAGTATAATTTTTTTTTTTTAGGCATCCTAATATTGTGCGTATGTTTGGATATTTTCATGATGATGCCAGAGTATATATGATTTTAGAATATGCACCTAAACAGTTGTACAAAGAATTGCAAGCTCAAGAAAATCAACGTTTCTCTGAAGATAGGTAGATAATAAATATTAATATAAATTATGTAATAGGTACATTAAATTGTATTTGTTTAATTAATAATAAAACCAAATAAATGAATAGATAGAATATATAGACATAAATATTTTTATTTATTTTAAAAAATTTTAAGTTTATTTTGGATGCTGGCTTTATTATATAAAATCTATATTCTATAATTGAATTTAAATTGTACTCTTCTATTATATAATTATTGAATTATATTAGTTGTAACTTAAAGCTATAATAATAATAATAAAATAGATTTATGATGAATGATCGATTTCTTCTAACTATAAAATAGTTTATTTATACTTGTTACTAATATTTATAGATAAATTCTTATGCAATTTTTGGTTACACCGACTATCGCAAGTCTCAATTCTGTTATCTCAACTACCAAACTGTGGCCGCAACAACCGCCAGTTCTCTATCTCAATCACCTGTTACCGACCACGGTTATCACTCATTTCTGTGGTCTACACATTATTTTATTTTATTTTTGAAAATATTTCTGAGAATTTTAGACTTATTTTAACTGTGATAATTTTTTTTTATCTCTTATACTATAACTCTCCACTACTGTAGTAGCTAAATGACTGAACTTATAGTCTGGCTGGTAATATTAGAGATACTAGTCGAGATAACAGACTTGAGACTTGGGTAGTCGTGGCATCGGGTGGTTGTTGGGATAACCAAAAAGTACCAATATAAATTATATTAATTTGAAATGTAATTGATAAGAAAAAATTATAATTCTAATTTATTTTACTAAAATAAAGAAATTATATCCTACTACCATTTTGTTGAATAGGGCAGCATTTTATATTAAGCAATTAACCGAAGCGCTGATTTATTGTCATGATAAAAGTATTATACATCGTGATATAAAACCAGAGAACCTTTTACTTACCAAAGGAGGTGACCTGAAAATTGCTGAMTTCGGGTGGTCTGTTCATACACGGGATTCAAAGTATTATTGAACAAAACTGCTTTGATTTAATATTAATACYTATAGTTATGTTCTAAAAATTAATKTTTCAGGCGTATGACATTATGTGGGACCTTGGATTATTTGCCACCAGAAATGGTGAGCGGAAACTCTCATGACAAATCAGTGGATGTTTGGAGTGTTGGTGTATTATTATATGAGATTTTAGTTGGCAAACCACCTTTTGAAGCCTMGACATATGAAGAGACATATAAAAGGATATTAAATGCTCAATATATTTTTCCGCAACATGTTGCTCCACTTGCTCGAGATCTCATATCACGTGTAAGTATTTTGAAACATAACAATCCATGTCTTATAATAAACAATAATATGATTTTCTGTTGTTTAGTTATTGAGAGTGAAACCAGAGACTCGTTTACCCCTCAAAGATTTATTGCTACATGACTGGATAAAAATTCACACCTCTAAAAGTAACAATATTTAAGATTTCAATTTTATGAAATCCCTATTTGTATGTAATTATTAAAAAAAAAAAATTGAACCAGGCTTGTTTTTATAAATTCAATTTTTCTATTATATTTGTTATTGTGTCAATTTAATWAAGTGTAATAAAACAAAATTAGTGTAATAAGACTTAGCATTAATAACAGTTCTTTGTATACAACATTTTTTTGTCCTATTTTAAAAGCTTATAAGTCTTAATTTTGTAGTTTTATTGTACCCTTAAGAAATGAATTGTGTTATATTTTATTTGAACCATCATTAATAAATAAAAGTTAACAATAGTTCTTTACTATTGATTCCCATAAAAAAAAAAAAGTGTTGTATACTTTTATACTAATAATTTATTTTTTACATTCATGAAGTTGATTTATTTTCTGCCTATGTAAAAATAATTCCACACTTAACTGTGATTTATAATAATATATACTTAATAATTTTGATATAAATGGATATTTGTTAAACTAAAAAAATATAATTTTAATTTGTACATACTATTAGTATATTGTTTTTGACATTCTTTAGTTTCTAACTTGTTCTAAATCAAAATATTTTTATGATGATTGCAAATAAAATAAATACTTGATTATATTTTTTTTATCTTTTATTCGTAAAAATTATAACTTAAATAATTTATCGTTACATAATATAGGTATTTTTAGTATATCCATGTTTGGTTGAAATGTTCAAACTCATACTTTCCATTTTCCTCCGTCCACATAACAAGATTCTTATGCTTTAGGGAAGAAATTTATCTAAATGGTAAGTATAAAGATTTTAAATATRAGTGCATATCATAGATTTATGTAACAAATTTAAAAAAAAAGAAACTCACTTTTTCTCCATTTTTAACAAAACAGTTTCTGATCACTCGTCCAGCTGCGCATTTTTCAGAGGTTTTTGGATCGATAACAGCTATAATAATAAATCAAATACTGCTCGATTATCAATTATCATTGATACTTTATATATTTGAATTTCTCGCTAATCGCGATTTTTCAATTTACTGTGACAGTCGCAAACCCACCTTCTTTTTCGCAAGTCTCAATTATGGTCACTGCTTTCTTGTACTCTTCCGGTTGGTTAGCGAAGCGTATCCTAGCCATAGCCTTGCCGTCGTCCACACTGAACTTATTATTCTTGATCAAGTTAAGATTTTTGTATACGCACTCTAAGTAGCATCTTTGTTGCTCGCTCTGTGGTACCACCGTATTGCTGACCAGTGCCATGATTTCTTGTGGTGCGTGTAGCTCGTCTTTACACTTAACCGCGATTGTGTTCAACTTCTGTTTCAGAGCCACATGTCCTTCGGTCATCTACATAMACAAATAATAAGTGAATAAATAAATTATATCTACCTCAACGCTTTTTAAATATTGTAATACAATATAATATTTGCTTCAACAATCATTTTAACATGTGTATTGCCTACGTATACCTATCAACATTTTATATGGAATATAATGTCACCCTAATCCCAAGAGCCRGGGTCTCCAAACTACGGCCCGCGAACAAGTTTAAACCGGCCCGCAGCACCCATAGGACGGTAAATAAAATATAGATATAAAATTAAAAAATATATGTGTTAATAAACTTTTGGCCCGCTAAGAGCATTTGATATTTTTTGTGGCCTTTGAATAAAAAAGTTTGGAGACCCCTGCCCTAGAGACCTTAATTAAAAATTAAATATCAGCCTCGAAAGTCAAATAAATAGTCGTAGGCGCTCGGAGTGGGGGCAAGCTAGGATATTGGCCCCTAACTTTTTGAAAAAAAATTTAATTTCTCCTCAAATCTTAACATTGACCCCAAACACTTCACCACTAAAAAAATTGTGCGACCATTATGCAAATAGTGTGCTCTGTTCTATAGCTATTAGCAAATTATCTTTCTGGCGGGTTGGGTGAACTTGGTTTTAATTTTGATAATAATTTGTAGTGACTTATACCGTAGGCTTTGGCGTGGTGGAGTTTCCCGTTACGCCGGCAGAAGACTTAACGATGGCCGGCCGCTCTGTGCTGTTGACGGACGCTCCGCTGGCTGTCGTGGCCGTAGCATTAGCRCCTGTTTTGGTGGTGGTCGAACCGTGCGCATGGTCCTTGGCATACGTGGTCTGTGGGTGGCTGGTCTGGGTAGACGAAGACTGAACCGGCAGGCGAGTGGGCGTCACAGTCGTCGGCGGCTTCGTCGTGCCACTCTTGTAGCAAGTGGATATGTTACACGGGTCTGAACTCTAAAGTTGAAATAATACATTACTATTTCAACGTTAATTCAATTTATAAACTTACGGGTTTCATCCTAATTAGACACACTACCCGTTTTAAATATTTTTATGATATTATTTATTATTTACAACCCATATTATCATTAGGTATGTGATTGAGTAATATGAATGTTTCAAACATGATGTAAATAAAATGTATCTAGGTACTACCTGGTTTCAAAAAAAAAAGTCATCAAGTAAGTATCTGCTGTGCAGAAGATGTTAATCATCAGTGTACCCCTTGTCATTGAGTAAGCATTGTAAGAGAGATAGGTACGTGTCAAGTGTGTGTTAAAKTTGAATTCAGAGATAATTAATAAACCATWGTTCATGATGAAAAACATTAAACAGACTTACTAAACTAAACTTGGTTATCAAACACTTATTTTTATAATCATTTTAAAAGTTTATATCCCCTGACCCCCACACTGTTATAGGTACTTTGAAAATTAGGTACTGACAATTTTCMATTTCGACCTGCCAAAAGAATCAACTAGTTCCAATTTGCTACCTCCCTCATAGTTGATGATCAGAGAACTTATTAAAAATTATCAGTAGAGTGAACTGACCTATTATCAAACTTTTAGGTAAGAACATTAATTGTGTACTCTCGTTGGTTTTTACGATATTTTAATTTTAAGTGAATACCTAATGAGCATTTTCAAATATCTATTAGTCTATTACCTATGCTGAATGCGGATTGATGTGTAAAGATTTCAAATAAATGAAGCGTTAGAGGTTGTGTAAATAGTATTTGAATCCAAAAATATAACTTACTGAAATTTGGGGCGTCTTATCACATCATTATACCAAAATACATTTTGGAAAGTATCCATTTTTTTTTTTTTTTTAATCATTATTTCAAAAACTTATTTTATTTATCAGTTTTAAATGTATCAAAAAGCACTCTGACTTTGGAACTTATAAAGATATGCCAAATGAAAAGCTCTGTGGAAATTCAAGTTCGAAACAAAACTGCGTTGCATCTGCAGGGGCATAACACRTTTCCATCAAAAGTAGACCTTTCTCTTTCCATCARTACCCATTTCCACCAAAGGTGTATCTTTCCCTTTTCCACCAATATCCGTTACCACCAAATGAGATCTACCTAATTTTACCACGGTTAATTTACCAAAATAATTTGTATACTACGCTTATATTAAAATMTATAATACAGTAATAAGTTTATTYAAAATACTAATGCTGGATTGAAAAAATTAAATATTAATGTACATTTAGCTATGTATGTATTGTATCTACTCGTATATATAATTGGTTAATATTTTTTTCGCCCATCTACATGTATGTATATATAATATACCTAGCTATATTAATAATTATGTAATACATAATAAAGAATATCCGACTACACTGCTATATTAACGTTATAAATATGTGGTTTTGAATGGTTTACCTGCACGGTGGCGACCAGAGCAACCAGGACGGCGGTCGCTGCGGATACCTTCATAATGTCTCGACGAATGTACTAGGTAGGTATATGCACGATGCTGTTGCAAGAACTGATCTYACACGATGCCTGCGTAGTCTGTATTGCACTGCTCAGTGGGATAAATGGAAATAAAGCCTAGCTGCGTGTGTGTGTGTGTATGTGTATCCCTATATCGGTATGTATACAATATAGTTTATAACTTGACAAACTGTAACATTAATTTCTGAGKTTTTCGCGCTGCAGTATAATAGCTATATAAAGTCACCTGGTACGATGATCGACGCGTGTATTCGACTGACACCCGGCCGCAATCCACGAGGTCTTTTATACGTACCTGATGCCTTTGTCGCGGTGTTATGATTATGACCTCTGTGGACATTAAATAGCAATGAAAAGCAATGTCTATGCGGAGACCAAATTGACGCGAGGACGTCGATTTTTTTTTCATTTTCCCCCCCGAACGCGTTTTACATAAGTGACGCGTCCTGTTTGCGCGGTGGAAGTGTGAATTGAAGAATTAAATTGGCACGTAACATACAATCCGTCGCCGTTCCCAAACAATAATATAATTGTGATTTAAATTGGGGAACAAGCCCCGCGACGGCTATATAAATTTGTGTAAATGTTATATTATACGGATTCACCCACGTTATAATAATAATATATATTGTTGTTATTGTTATTCTATATGTGTTTACTTTAGTAAACAGTGTATACATAATCRCTGGACTCGTCCCGAGAAAAACGAAATACATTTCCGTGTCGTACTTTTTTTAAGTGGACAATAATAATAGTAAATAAATGAGTACACCTATAGGTATCTAAATAGATACATATATAAATGTGCAATACGTATACGCGTATCAACAATTGAGGTACGGAAGACTGCCGCGTACAGCATATAAAAGGTGCATTATTATTATGTCTTGCTGACAAATATTCGTCTGACAATAAAATCATTGAAGTTGATTAAACGTCTCGAGAACAATTCGGCATTTATGGGAGTTGCAACTCCAGGTCTAAGGACGTTGTGTTTGTAAAATATATTAAGTACAATCAGTGTGGWACGCAAAGAGGGTGGCTAACGGCTGAAGCCCCCTCACATTGACAATATTATTTATTTTTTTAGGATTATTTACAAATGAATTATAATATTAAGTAGAAGTTATAGATTATCGAATATAGAATTAGCTGATAGATTATTGAATTATTCCATATAGCTTATACATTATTATTTAATATACAAGTACCTATTTTTTTCCATGATAGATATTTTAAAGTGATTTTCKTGAACATTTWWAAAAAATTACTTAAACTTCGCGGAGCCCTAAAGTGATCTACGCGGAACCCGAGGGTTCAGCAGAACACAGTTTACGAAACACTGTTATACAGGTACGTATAAACCCGTGAAGTGTATATACGCAGCCGTTTATGATTTCCGTATAGACTTCCCACATATACGGTCATAGAGAGGTGTATTAATTTTTTTCTAGGAGAGGGTACTGGGGGAGTGGTTGACCACTGGTTCAAACCTTCTCACTTTTCACTATAAGATAGACTTCAAAATTCYAATAATTATTTTAAATTTAAAAATATAAAAGGAAATAAGCTTGGCGAATCATTCTGCATCTACCTATATAAGCACAAGGGATTTATATTTACCACATCGAATACTCAAAACTGATAACTAAACATTTTTGACATACTAATTATCTGCGTAGTGCGTACACACATTTGTTTTAACAAATTGGAAATAACTAGTTCAAATATTTATTTAAATAGGCATGTCATCTCATCGTTCTGATCATCAACATTTTCTGCTGGTCCCTTCAGTACCTATTACATTTTTTTGAAAATAATATGGGGGCGGGTTTAGTTGTCTTAAAAACCTTTAATGTAATGGTATTATTATACCAAATATCAATATTGTTACCTATTAATTATCGTTAAACAACATTACCAATTCGTTAATTCTTATTCCTAAATCGTATTCGTGACTTAAATATTATTATAAAACAAATATTGATATTTACCATAATATAGATAAGAGGTAACTTATAGTAACTAGGTACTTTAAATAAACTGTTTAAATACTACAGCTTACGAATTTTTATATTAACTTAGTCCGTCAGTCGGTCCTTAAAATTGTGTTATCTGTAATTTATCAGTAATTATTACGACTGGATGTTTAATATTGYTTYACATATTTATATAAAACGTCAATATGACGACAGGTACCCCAGTTTCAGATGTCTCACCCAAGTTATTTGGTTTTTTACGTTTCAAAAGAAAATTGTTATTTTAACAAAATTGCCAATTAATAATATTGAATCGTTATAACAAGATAATATTATAATAATATCGATTATTACAGCCGATTACTAGGGTCAGGAATTTATCGCCACTTAATAGGTACTTATTTATACGTAGTAATGAGTAAAAAAAAACGTTGGGTTTTCCCATGAAAAACACATTAAACCTGCGCAACCCACAACCATGACCGGATTTATGAAACTCGCACAACCAACTGAATCGACATCATTAGTTGTTACTTGTTTTGCATATTATTATTTTTATATGAGTATAAAATGTTAATTTTCCGTATAGCTGTCAAATATAGCCTATAGGTAGATAATAATGTATTATGTAATATAATAATCTACTACCAAAATCGAAAATGTTCGTATAGACAAAAATATTCTGCTTAATCTTTAGTCTATACTCCATCATAGTTCATACAGTCTTTATTATTATACGTGCATTTTAAGTATAACCCCTGGACAAACACGGGYCATGCAAATATTTGAACTGTTTTAAATATTATGTATAAAAAGTTATTAACTGTATTTATTTTGATGAAGGTTTTTAAAATATTAAGGTTTCTTTTAAGTTTTTAAAGAATTTAATGCTTGGTTAAAAAGCTTGTTAATTCTATACATDATTACCTATACCATTATATTACCATATTACCGTATAATAAGTTTTTCATATAACTAATTAAAAATATTTGCACATTTTTTTTTATAAACCTTATCTGATGTTCAAACTAATACGAAATAAAATATTTAAATACAAATAAATTATTTTAGTAATTTTATTTTGTAATTAAAAAATYCCGGGACCCAACTAATGGAGTAGCGAAAATAATCTAGAATCTAACTAGTGTAGTACCTAAAATAAKTAAGAACCCAACTGGTATAGGAATTTTAATTTTGGGACTCAACTATTAGGATGCAGCAGTACACGGGCTTCAGTTATTTCGATACCTTGAAACTATCGATACCTAACTCAAGTAATTGAAATTAAAGATGAAATCGTTAATTAAACCGCTTTTTATGAGAACAGGCGGTACCTAAAACCCAATTCGTCTTATGAATTTGTTCGTCGTCCTCTTTTATTATGCAAAACACATCCGACAGACAGTCCATACGATATCTCAACTCTCAAGTGCATTTCGCAGTGCGCCAATTGCGAAGTTCACGGTCGAATTTGTTGGGCACATATTATTATATTTTATATGTGGGAATTAATGTTGTCGTCGTACACAATAGTGCATAATAGTCGTAATGAAATATTTCAACGATAACAAAATAATAATTTCCATTCAAAAAATATTTCCTCTGTAGTCGGATACGCGTGATAAATACAGTGATAAATCATAATACTAACGTTGTGCTGGTATGGTATAAAATATTTTGTATAATAACACATAAATAACCAAACTGCGTATATATTATGTTTCT